TGCAGAATGATCAAGTACAGACTGAATTTGAGGTGTTGAAAGGCTCACATGGTGGGGAGGTGAGCAGAGGGCAAGAAGGGCTGAGCAACGAAGGTGGATTTCACATCAGAACGTCTCTGTTTCAGATCCTACAGGATGCCAGCCATTGCAGTCCCTGGCAAGTATATGAAGTCTTCTGCAGGCAGATTTATTGCTCAGATCTCAAGCTTCCCCTGTGGGCTCCAGCAATCAGGTCAACAGTGGGGTCTATTTATGGTAACTCGGGCCCAATAGAATAGGCTGTCTTCCAGGGTGGATAATTGAGAAGGGCAGGGACTTCATGGAGGCACTTAACGTCCCTGTGTCAGCAGTTTACTTCTAATTAATCTTCTCTGAATTGCTCTATCTTAGCTTGCAAGAGCTTCCAATGTTTACCTCCTGACTTCTTAAAGGGCCAGGGTCTTTTTCATATGAACATTAAAGAACCTCCCAGATAATCTGTTTTAAACACGGTTACTTGGTTATTTCCCTTCTCCCATACATATCCACACAGACAGGGAGAAGGAGATGGAAGAGAGAGAGGGACAATGGAGGGAAGAGAACATGTCAAGGGAGAGGCTGGGATGGCCAATAGCCAAGCAAGGAAGGCAGTGGAGAGCATTTGGTCTTGAGTGTTGTCCTGAGAAAGCTGGTGATGGCAGGGCATGACTGCACCCCACCTGAGTGGGGAGCAATGCTGACTGGGCTGTCTCCTACCTCCTACATTTTTACCTGGAGATCTGGCTTCCTCAAGCTGCTGCATCACCATACCCACGTCTGTCCATTCACCCAGTCAGTTTGTGTTTGCTGAGGACTCCTCAAACAAGGTTCAGACTCAGAAGCAAAGTAGTGGACCTTCAGAGATCCTCTGCTTTTGTAAAGCAAGAGAAGTGCATGAGGGCCTTATTCTCTGCAACAGACATGTGGCTGAAAATTTCAGTTTAAATATAGGGCTAAAATCCAACTTTATCATAAATATAGTGGCTATTTAAATGGCCCCTGCTTTTTAGAATGAATAATTCATGTTAGTTTATCTGGTTTGGGCAGTTGGCATATTAGATCTTCATAAAGCAGGATACCTTTATGTAGTGTATGTTGTGAACATGGTCAGTTAAAACAGGTGCTAGACAGTCTTGTACCAAAATTTTAGAGTAAATATTGGAGCAATGTTAGATCCAAACAGACGGCCTTGCTATTTATCAAGCATTTACTATGTAACCATCCTATGCAGGAAGTCACAGGGAATACAAAAGAAAACATATTTTGCCTCTGCAGACTTACGTTTCCTCATGTATAAAATGGGATGTTAGATGAAAAGATGTCTAACACAACTTCTAGCCCTAGACATTTATGATTCTGTAGTGTGATCTTTGCCCTAAAAAGCCTCAGAATCTTGCTGGAATAAAGCATAATACACACCATCTAGGATGAAACTGGAGCCCATTATACAGAGTGAAGTAAGCCAGAAAGATAAAGACCAATACAATATACTAACACATATGTATGTAATTTAGAAAGATGGTAATGATAACCCTATATGCAAAACAGAAAAAGAGACACAGATGTACAGAACAGATGTTTGGACTCTGTGGGAGAAGGCGAGGGTGGGATGTTTTGAGAGAACAGCATCAAAACATGTATATTATCAAGGGTAAAACAGATCACCAGCCCAGGTTGGATGCATGAGACAAGTGCTCGGGGCTGGTTCACTGGGAAGACCCAGAGGGATGGGGTGGGGAGGGAAGTGGGGAGGGGGGATCGTGATGGGGAATACATGTAAATCCATGGCTGATTCATGTCAATGTATGGCAAAAACCACTACAATATTGTAAAGTAATTAGCCAAAAAAAAAAAGAGAATACCATAATAAAAAAATTAAAAAAAATAAAATATGTTGTACTGTACCCTCAATAGGAAATAAACTTTACAGTACATGTGTATTACTAGCCAAATATATAACTGAAACATAAGTTTCACAATAGTTTTCACAGTATTTACCCTTGCTATGTGCAATTAATTCAAATTTTCAGTTCTATGCTATTCCATTTTTTTTTTTAAATAAAGCTGGTTGCAAACTTCTAAAAAAAAAAAAAGCATAATACACACCATCTCATGAAATAACAATGTGGCAGTGACTGGAGACCAAGGAGAAGAGAGCCCATGAGGATTGGGGAAGGTCTAAACGTCTCTCCCCCAGTTTGTGGGACATGGCAGGGCCTTGTAAGCTGGGGAAAGATTTCCAGGGGACCAGTGGAGGGCTAAGTCAAGCTGGAGGGGACAGGCTTGGTGATGGTAGGGGGCCCAGAGGGTATCTGCCTCACAGGATTGTTGGAAGAGTAAATGAATTAACACCTAAGGAGTCCATACTGTGCATAATGCCTGGTACACAGTAAACACTTAATGCAAGTCTAAACACAACTGCTAGGGAGTGACCGACATGCTAGACTATCTTCCGCTTCAACTTCGTGGGTGTAACTAGAAAGAGGAGGGAATCTCAGAGGAGCAGCTGGTGTGGCTTCAGCAGTCGAACCAACACGGTGGCCACCCTGAAGGACAAGTGTCCCGAAGAGATGGAGTAGAGGGTGGGTCTGGCACCAAGATCCATCACTAGTTGTTTTTGTATGAAAATTCCTCACTAGGCCCAGGTAAACAGAAGCTCTGAGAGTTTTATAGACACAGTTTGGGTTAAATTGGCCTCTGGAATGATCAGGAAGAATTTTACTTAGAAAAATGAGGTTACACATTTTGGGGTCTGTATTATTTATTATCAACCAGGACACAAAGTTGTTTATTGTACTGTCTGTGCCCTTGATGCTTTTCCCAAGAGGATCAGTGCAACCAGCAAACAGTTTCTGAAGATGTCCCCAAGCCAAAATGCGAAGAGGCTTCTTTAAAGAACTTGCCTGGCCTTCTGTGAGCAGCTCTCATGACATTCTATAACTCTGGATAGATTCCCAGCCAACGATATTCCCAGCCAGTGACTGCTCTCTTCTTTGAGTTCCAATTAATGTTATTATTAACCACAACTATCATTTATTGAGCTTTTGTTGGGCATTTATTGACCCAGGTACATATGTAGATTTTAAAATCAGATTATAAAATACCTTACATTGGTCCTAGGAGATAGATAGGTTTATTATTATGTCCATTTTACAAGTAAGAAAACTGAAGCCCAGAGGGGTTAAGTCATTTACCCAAAGTCACACAGCAGACAAGAAGCAGAGCTGGGACTCTGACTGAGCTCTAATTCTTAATCACTATATCCTCCTGCCTCCAAGATGATGAGCCAACTGTGTATCAGGAATAAAGACGGCATATGAGGCAGATGGATGAGAATTTAAAAAATGGGAGGGCTTTCCAGTGCTGCCTTGGAAAAGAGAAAAGAAGATAAGGAGAGCAAACAAAGAACAGAACTGCACTCCCGAAGGGCAAAAGGCTGGAGCCACATGCTTGGAAAGATGTACCATGGACAGAGCCCACATCCTGGATTTCTAGTATGTAAGAGTCATGTGAAATTGAGAAATGCCTAAAGACAGGGTATCCCCAGCCTTCGCTATCTAAGCATCTAGATCCATCAGGGTCTTAGGAGAGAGATAAGACTACCATCCTAGAGAATCAAGGCCCCAGAGATAGGAGGCAGCTGCCCATAACAGGAGCATCATAGGATGAGAAAGCACTGGATGTTTGAAAGGAGGACAGACATAGAAAATAAAACCTCTCTACGTAACCCCTCTACATTTGTTGCATTATCTACAACAAAGCAAAGCAAATTTACAAGCATATTATGGAAACTGCAGGAGAGAGAAATTACAGAAAGTTTCTAGTGGACAAGGAAATTGGAAATGGAAATTGGAATCTCACAGTACAGTGCCAATTATTACTAATTTGCACTATGTAAAATGTTATTGATAGTGTCTTTGTCACTATCTTCTTCTTTCTGTTTTATCTTCACGATTATACAAATATTTGAAAGGCTTCCAGGGGTTCATTCTCAACCTTGTTGCCCCAGTCCTATTTTTCCTATAACCTCTCACATCTCTTAAATCCCAATCTTCCTCCTGATTGGAAGTTTTCTTCATGCCTAGAGAGAGCCTACTGCATACGTGGTGGGCTTCTGGCAGGCAAAACTGTGCTTTCCTATCTCTGGAATCCCTTCTAGACTAAGCCTGGAATGGGCAAACAGCAAGTGCTCAATAAATACCTGCTGTGTGATGAATACGTTTCAGTTTTGCCTTCCCTGGTTGCATGTCATTCTGAGAATCATGTTGAAAGGCAACAGGAGAAGCCAGTTGGGTCTCAGTTGCTGCCAACACGGGGCTTTGAGCAAAGCCCGTCTGTTGGAGTATGGTGGGACTGGGGGGTGGAGGGCAGGGGGCGGAACGGGTGTGGAGTTCTGCAGGCTGGGGAAGACCCTGCCAGGATTTGCCTGAAATCTCTGCATTTTCCCTGGACAGACCAAGTTGGACGTGATGGAGGTGGGGGTGGGGGAAGCCTACCACCCAGGACAATGGAAAAAAAAAGAACAAGCGTGCATGTCCTGGACTAAGCTGACACCCTGTGAGATACAAAGATGGCTCAGGGCCTGCCTGGGAACAATTTGCTTGGTATGGACCCCAAAGTTAGAGGGAAACTGAAGAGCAGAACAATTTCCCATTCATGGAGAAAATGAGGAGGCCGAGGATCTTTTCAATGAGTCAGCTGTAGGCAAAGGGATTTATTTACAATATTATTATTTGGTAGCAAAGAACTTACTATGGCCGAATGTAAAAAGTATTTTTTTTGATAAGTTAAAGAGATTAAGAAAAATCGGCCGATTTTGACAGAGAATGGTGTGTAAACGAGAGGTGTTATCAGTGAGAATCTGGCACCAGCTCCATTTTGTTATGGTGAAAAATATCAGTATTATTTACTAAGAAGATTAGGGTTGAATTGGAAGAGAGGCTGGTTGTTGTGTGCAGATGGAGATAAGATAAGGATTTTACCTTCTCTGCGGAGCCAAATGCAGCACACAGGCGCTGTTATCTCGGGGCTGGCAAGCAGGGGGATATTAAGATGTACGTTGTAATTACCAGTGGCAGGAGCAAATTTCATAGCGACTATTTTAAACCCTAATAAAATGCCGGCCTTTAATTATACAGCTTTGAAATATTTTTCTCCGTTAATTGCAACGGGGGAAAATAAAATCAACCTCATATTTGAAACTGATTCTCGCAGGGAAAGCCCTCGCCTGGCGCTCCAGCTGCCTCTGAGCGCCGCGCTGCGGGGCGGAGGGCCTGCCTCGGTTTTTGGGTTTCCCGGTTCCATCGACCTCCCTCGCCCACTGCCTGCACCGCCAGCCTTGTGTGGGAGACAATAGAAAGGTGGAAGTCTTTCGGTGTAGAATTAGATCCCCTCCAAGAAGCCGCATGCTCTTTCCTTCTGAGAATAAAGTCTGATTTCTAGAAGCTGGAGGCAGGCGGGACACAGGAAAGAAGAACAAACGGTTCAAGCAGAGGCTTCTACGCAGCAGAAGCACCGCCCGCCCGCACCACCCCCGTGCCCCCCAACCCCCCATCAAGGGCTCCAGTCCGTGGAGCATCCCGCACCATCAGCCTCCGCACAGGGCATTTGAAGGCTGCCATCCGTCTTGGTCCACACCTGTACCTTCAGCAGGAGGCTGCTGCTGCTAAGTCGCTTCAGCCGTGTCCGACTCTGTGCGACCCCATAGACGGCAGCCCACCAGGCTCCGCCGTCCCTGGGATTCTCCAGGCAAGAACACTGGAGTGGGTTGCCATTTCCTTCTCCAATGCGTGAAAGTGAAAAGTGAAAGTGAAGTCGCTCAGTCGAGTCTGACTCTTCGCGACCCCATGGACTGCAGCCCACCAGGCTCCTCTGCCCGTGGGACTTTGCAGGCAAGAGGACTGGAGTGGGTCGCCATTGCCTTCTCCTCAGCTTGAGGCAAGTACCACTATTACTGGCATTTCTCCTCCCAACCCCCACCGGCCATACCACTTGGCATGTGGGATCCTAGTTCCCCAACCAGGGCTAGAACCCCCGACCCCTGCACTGAAAGCACAGAGTCTTCACCACTGGACCACCCAGGAAGTCCTATTTATGTTTCTGAGCACCGTTTCTGAGGTCCAGGGAGGTCAAGTAATTTGCCCAGGATCACACCCAGGGCTGCCATCATGGACCATCTGACCCCAGAGCACCCTTCCTCATCTTTCAGGAAAAACTCACCTCTCCATGTGTCCTTACCTTTCCCTCAGCTCACCAGCTCCGTCTGTGACTGTGGGCAGTTACCTGGACTCCCTGCCCCCATTGCCTTCAGAGAGCTGCACCTGCTCCACATCCTTGCTGGGAAAATTTAAAGCTCCCCCTCACTGCCCTCAGGTCGACAGTCAACCATCCCAGCTGCCCCTCGGGCCCTCCACAATCCGGTCTCCATTACCTTCCTCACTGTCATCCCCTTCGCCCACACAAGGAACTTCCAGTTCTGGTTCTGGAAGGTTCCTTGGCCACTGCAAGGAGCCACACAAGCTCATCTTCTTCCTGCCTGGAACCTCTTTGAAGCTCTTCTCCGCTTGGCCCTTCTTCAAAGCCAAGTTCAAACGGCTCTGCTTCCTGACCGGTCCCCATGCAAGTCCCTCAGCACCCTGGTCATGCCCAGGTCAGGTTCTTTCTGCTGGGCCTTTTTTGCATCATTTAGGACGTAAGCTCTCAAGGGCAGACAGGCACACAGACACCGTCTGAGGCCCTAATGTGATTTGCTGAGCAAAAATTGTCAGTTACCCTTTAGCATACATGTGTTTTGTTGTACATGGTGGATTGCAAACTTCCTGACGGCAGGAACTATGTGTGAATTCCCTTTGCAATCCCAGCCCTGACTTTCCAGAGGTGGCCTTGATGAGAAAGGGGCTCCTTTTGTACCTGGGTCCCATGAGATGGAAAAACCTGTGGGCAAGAAGCCAAGAGATAGCACAACCTAACCGTCTGGTGTCACCTTGTATTCATATAACCCTAATCTCCTCCCATGTGAAATGGGGCCAGTAACACCAACCCTCTAAAGTGTGGCTTTTGTGATCCAACCACTATTGGAGATGAGATGGGCAGGAAGTACACAAACGTGACATGTTGGTAAATAACACCTTGTTCTCCCAGGGACTGCAGACCCTTTACGGTCATTTTGTTGGCTGGCCCCAAAACAAAAGGGAACTCTCATTGGCCCCACATCCTGTGGCTAGGTAAGGGGATCCAACCCAAGGGAACCATGGCATGAGCTCTGGAAGGATTGGGAGGGTCCTCTCAGAGTCTTCCCTAGGGCTGGTGGGAGGCAGAGAGAGTGGGGTGCAGAGGGTCTTTCCCCAGAGAAAAGAGTCAGCCCAGTGGGATAATCAGCTGTTTGGACCATTTCTCATCCAGGGTAAGGGATGGAAGCAGGCCCCTCCATCCAGAAAAGGCACCAACCTCATAACAAATGGAGGCTTTATCAAAACCACCAACAGGACCCCTTAGTATGCTTCTTTGCTGCCAAACTACTCTTCATAGGAGAGTTGCCTTCAGGTAGAAAGCGTAGACAATCTGACGTACCGTGGTCTTAAGGTCTCTCTCTCTGAACTCCCTGACACAGTCTTAGAGCTGGGCATAAAAGGAATTTTCATAAAACTCTTACTTCTCCATCAAGTTACTCTTTACCTTCTCAGAGTTCATCTATTTAATTTTTTATGGAACCTCTATATCTTGTAGCTCCAAACTTCCCATCAAATAGTGGTCTGAAAACAGATACTTAAATATACTAGGAACCCCCTCCTCCAAGAAAATTTTGGGAAGACGTTCCATAAAAGGGTAGAATTCTTTGATCCACAATGGTTCTTACTATCAGTACGAACATTTATCTATACTGACTAAATATGCAAAGAGCCAACTCATTAGAAAAAACCCTGATGCTAGGAAAGAAGGCAGGAGGAGAAGGGGACAACAGAGGATGAGATAGATGGTTGGATAACATCACCGACTAAATGGACATGAGTTTGAGCAAGCTCCAGGAGATGATGAAGGACATAGAAGCCTGGCGTACTGCAGTCCACAGGGTCACAGAGTCAGACATGACTGAGCAACCGAATGATGACAATGACTAAATATGCCTACTTGTAAACTTCAACTTTTATTATTGATAATAACAGCTAACATCAATGGAATTTTTTTTCCTATGCAAGACACTGGGCTAGAGATTTTTACACATGGCTTCATTGAACTCATAAAACCCCCGGCTGCTGCTGCTGCTAAGTCGCTTCAGTCGTGTCCGACTCTGTGCAACTCCATAGACGGCAGCCCACCAGGCTCCGCCGTCCCTGGGATTCTCCAGGCAAGAACACTGGAGTGGGTTGTGATTTCCTTCTCCAAAACCCCCTGAGAGGGATGCTATTATTATCCCCATTTTATTGAGGAGAAAACAGAGGTTTAGAGAAAAAAACTGACAGCTGAATGCTGAATCCAGTCTCCTTCTGAAACTGTGCTGCTTCCCACAGTGTTGCACAGCTTCACATGGGGCCAGGCTGCATTAACTAAGTGTGTGTCCACCATGAGGAGTATTTGATTACGGATATTTAGTGCACGTTCGTATGTGCGTGGGTGTGTTTGCAACAATCCCATGCTGTTCCCAGCCCTCTCGACATCAATGACCAGGGCTTTGTGATTCTCTAGCTCCAGGAAGTCAGGGCCCACTCTGCCACCATGCCTGGGTGAATAGCAGGAGCCCGTCAGCACATGCTCTGGGTCACAGAGTTCAGAGATTGAATCCCAAGCGGGTGTCTGTCCCGGGTGATGGCAGCTGGCCCTGGGGTTGCAGCCTTTGTGGGTGCTGNAGTCAGGGCCCACTCTGCCACCATGCCTGGGTGAATAGCAGGAGCCCGTCAGCACACGCTCTGGGTCACAGAGTTCAGAGATTGAATCCCAAGCGGGTGTCTGTCCCGGGTGATGGCAGCTGGCCCTGGGGTTGCAGCCTTTGTGGGTGCTGGTTGGTGTTGGGGCTCTCACTGTTCCAGAAATGATTAAGAGTCTGATACTATCTTGATAGCTTTAGGAGACACCCCTCTGTGGATTGGGATGCTACTGGTTGATATAAAACGATATATTTTTTTCAATCTATTTCGTGGTGGCAGTAATTCAGACGAGGAAAGGTCTTTGCCTTCTCCAGGAGCTTTATGCTGCTTAGAAATAAAAAAAGAAAATAATCACTGAAAAGGATGAAGAAAATTTTTCAGAGGACCTACATTAGTAACTGGGAGCTTAGAAAATGAAACACTTTCTAAATTTCCAATATTGAACAACTGGGTTTCCCTCCCTCCTGAACAGTGACAATTATCTCTCCCTCTTCCAAATGTCAGGCAGCCCAAGGGAAGTACAGTGACAGAGAACACAGCCAGGAGAAGGGCTGAAAATATTACAGTGTTTCTCTGATTTTTCACCCAGAAGCAGCTCTCTGTATGGCTTTCCTTGAGCAGTTTTCCTGTATTTTTGCAGCCTGCCCCAGAGGGATAGAACACATGATTTTAAGCCATAGACAAAACTAATTTTTAGATTGTGTTGTAGCTTTGTTTTTCCCCCATTTGCGAATTTCTTAAGTTGCTCTGTCCCTGCTTAGAGCATACTAAGACCAAACCTGCCACTTCCAGGGCCTTCCTCCATACCAATTTTGCATGCAAGCCAAGGCCACCACTAATAGTAATATTTTAAGAAATCTCTCCAAGATTTTTTTAAGAAACTCAAATTTTGCAACAAACGTAGAATTTAACAAAGTCAGAGCCACTTATTTGCCAGTGCCAGTGTGTGATCTGATATAAATGGCCAGCCAGTAGCTTGTAGCTAGTAACTAGAAGAGTCTGAGACTTGGAGGGGATTTGGTGACAGGGAAACTGAGCAGAGAACTAAGCTTGAACATTTACTGTAAATCCTTGTAGAACATTATTTTTTTTTTACCAAAGTTATATAGGTACATAGTTTCAAGGTAAAAAATGTAACTCTATAAGGCTTATTCCCAGCTCCCTTTTCACAGTCCCCAGAGGCCACACTTTCAAATCTAGCACCTTCTTCTATTATTTAGTTCCATTTAT